CGACCCAGGAAATCATAAAGCCCTGTTAGGGTTCTGAAAGTATTAACACGAACAAAAACTGCAACACATAAGATATTACAGTAGCATCTTGGCGATTTCGAGTCGGTCAGTGTAATCCTGAGATCAAAGTCAGTGGAGTTGAGCCAACAATTCTCAGCACCTAGCACCTCTATAGAATCACAAGAGCTAAAGCGGACGTCCGCGTCTACAATGGTTATTGTGTGAATGTTGTACAATTGTTTTAGCTGTCAAGCTACCATTGTGGCGTCTGCTGACTGTCACACGGAGCCATGACGCCCTTCAGGTCTTCCAGCAGCACCCAGTTACACCCAAATTCTTTACAAATCGAGATGTTTAATGTTTATGTTGCTGATAATCCGCTTTACAGCTATGATGATAATTTTAAATACAAGTTAGCCCTACTGTAAAATAATTAAATCAAGTCTCGTGTGTATTCTACCAATTCTACTGTACTGTCTAATTAATTTGGCCAGGACTCAATCAGTTCTCGATGGTCCTGATGAGGATGTTTTCAACTGAGTAATATATAACAGACTGTACAAAATAATTCAATTCAAACTGAATGTCACATCGATAAACACCAGTACAGCTGTTCTTCATCTTTAGGACAACAGCTGAAATATCAGAAATTAGAAGGTAACAAATCTACACGGGTCATCTCACCCCAACCTCCAACCAACCTACTACACGTTTCCTTTCTGCATTCACATTGATTCACGTATGTCATGACATATGGTTACTAATTCTACTAGCGAGATGTCCAATGTATATTGTAGTCTATTGACGCAGTTTACCTCGGTTCCTCTTTCTTATGATCATTATAAGCTCCTTGATGTCAATATCTGGAAGAGTGAAATTCCTTGAAAAACGGAATGAGGTTATTACAGCAAAAACGAAAAGTGAAGGTTGAAGAGGGGACCAAATTCAGTACAACCCAATAAAAGTCCACGATAATGGAAAATCGAAACGACTATCTTCAAACTGCATCTTCATATTACCTTTCCTTACACTCTCTTTAGTACACATGGCAAGGCATTGACCCTCGAGAGCTCTAAGATCTGATAATTCCTAGACGAGAAGAGTTGGAAGCTGGCTGGGGCATCATGGCAGACGATGAACGATGGAACGCAGATTGCAAGCCACCTGACGACCGTTACCGTGCGTCAGTCACAATTAGAACAACTAGTTTCGCGGCAAAAAGACGACCCAAGGTGGAACTGCATCTCCTTGCGATCGCGTTGCAGTGCTGTAGATTCATAACGTTCACACGACGTTCTGCGGGTTCTAGATCGTTAATTTTGCGTTTGGAGTAAATATAGCTGCAATAGTAGCAAATAATAAGAAGCCAATTCAACTAGTATGTTCTTTTAGACAAAGAAAATTTCTCTACATCACCCTTACTTACAGATATTGGATGGGTGTCTACGCCAGTGTGCAAAACAGAACTAACCAAAAATACCGCATTGCGTTGCTACCTATAAAGAAAAACACATTAATTACACAAACGAAAGAGAAATTCGGACAAAAGAAAGGAGTCTCACAGTGTGTACGAGAGGAGAAGACCGCATTCGCGATATTTCTGTGGTCGGAAGGGAAACTTAGTAATGATGATGACGCAATTATATGGTAGGAAGACGACGGATAACAGTGCAACAACGTGTGTCTAAGTAGGTAATGCAAGTAACTAGGCTTTGAATTGTTTTGACTTCCTAGAGAAATTTATATGTATACTTTTACCGTTAACTTATCAATTGATAATTTCTTGTCTGTTTTTCTGTATTTCCACAATTCCATCACACAAAACAACTGGACTAACTAAGCTCATATTTCCGATGAGGTATATAGGTAGGCGATATAATCATATCGGAGTTCTGTTAATACATTTTAGAGTTTTGTCCAATTGCCCGAGAGGTAGTATTGTTATACTAGCAGAGGGAATGGACAATAAATACTCCATGGTATAAGAAGCATACAAAATGCGTAAAAGAAAAAGTTTTGAAACTAACTACGGGGTAAGAAATGTTTCAATTAATCTAGGATGTGTCGTGAAATGAAGGTCGTACATTTATTGCGCCAAAGAGTTTCTTAATTGCGTCAAGCCCTCAAAGGGTCCCAAAAAATGTTTCTTAGTTGCGCCAAGCCCAAACCAGGTAGGGGTTAATTACCGGCAGAAGGAATATCCTTGTACGTGTCATCTTAACCTAACATAACATTTCCAACCTACTAAATTATACAGTCAAAGAGGGTCACCATTAGGCACAGTGAATGGACCTATCGGGTGGCTCCCCTGGAGTAGTTGGCGCAATTCAGGAATACCCGACTACCTACTCAGGTCAGTTGGCGCAATTAATGCCCGTCCAAAATGGATTGTTACTTCATTACATCAATATTGTAGTTCTTTTGAGTTTATGACAAAGACAATATTATCAACAGCGCTGCTCGTGTAAGAACTCAAGGATATACGAGAACCAATTTTCATGCAAGCACGACTCAACGAGACTACACAATTTCAACTAATTGGTACATTTTTAAGAGGAAGGGGTTTTATGGAATGCGCAAAGTAAAAGGCAAAAGAAAGGGCGGGTCACGAAACTTTCACCAGCGAAAGTGAAGATCGGCTGTCGTGGGAGGTGCTGTACCTTCTGTAATATGGATGTATTGGAGATGTTGGTTCAACATATCAAACATTACATCGCTAGAGTTAATCTGTTTTGGTGATTCATAATAATAAATAAACGATTTGTGTTATTAGAAAAGGTTTAAATACCCGCTATAAAGCAATCCAATTTTGTTGTTAGCACAACTAGTTTCGGTGTCTGTGTGACACCATCATCAGGCTGCATAAGGACAGTTTTCTTTCTTCATACGAAGAGCGTCATATTTACACGAAAATATGAGTCCAGACTTCATATTTTCGTGTAAATATGACGCTCTTCGTATGAAGAAAGAAAACTGTCCTTGTGCAGCCTGATGATGGTGTCACACAGACACCGAAACTAGTTGTGCTAACAACAAAATTGGATTGCTTTATAGCAGGTATTTAAACCTTTTCTAATATTATTTGGCAATCCGGAGGCTAACAACTACAATGGATTTGTGTTAAAACTGAAATCCTTGTCATTGAATATTACAGTAACGATCTCTTAGTCAGTTTAGTACCTACCCTGATAATTCATTTTTGGGTGAGCTGGTGAGCTTGTCTTTGAGTCTGCTACAATTTAAATTATTGTTACCTAAAGTTTTTTACTCTGCGGTAGTTTATGAAGCACAAGAGACGCTCTGGATTACAAAGTAATCGTCCTTCCACAAAAAGGTTGAAACCGGCATTCAAAAGCAGCACACCTTGACATTAGCTAAATCGAAAATATTTTTAGCCTTCAATAATTTTAATTCACAGTAACCTACATATTCGGTACTTCTGCATTTACGTCATATTAAGCCCGAATATTGTACGTTTACCGTCCTATTAGTACGAATATTGTACGATAAATTGTCACTTCGGTTTCAAAATTTGTAAAATTACATCGACAAGAAAACCCAATGTCCAACAGACTCACAATAGTTTTTACTAAGCCTACCTCACTTTACAATTACTATTTGATCGTAAAAATTCTTCAAAATATCGCTGAACAAAATTCAAATGTATCCAACAACGTAATCTCTATAGAAGATCCGCCGAGTTGCAGGTCGGTGAGAGGTAAAAAGAGAGGTTTTAGAGCAGAGTGTACCTATACAAAGTGGGTCGCCAAAAGTAGGCGATTCTTTACAAACGACCACCGCTATCCTCCCCGCGGGTAATGTAGCTAGATAGTGTAACAACAACAGTAACAGTAACAGTAACAGTAGTAAAATACCGGTTTGATCGTTGATCCGCTTTCGCTGGATCGAGTGTCTTTTTTTACAGATCGAGATCAGAGTTCGTTTACATCTCCGACAAAATTACATTCAAGCACAAATCCTAAATCCTAAGTCCTAAATTAAGCACAACGAATAATATGATTGGCCTAAGTACTTTTCTGTTATCTAGACAACACTATTTCTTAAGCACGTTCGGTAGTTTCATCATAGACTCCAACACAACACATCTTTGTACTAACATGTTTTATCTTTGGTTTCATATCGTGTAAAATATACAGATACTTTTCACACTTTCAGATACTTCTACACATGTGATTCAACAACATTAAGCTACATTTTACATTGCCTAATCCATAACCAAACAATTAGCGAGATAACAGAAACGTATCGTGTAATATTAGAAATCATGATAAGGACTGGGGAGTATTGTTTTAAGAAATATGTAAGAAAATATAGGACCACGCCCTACAGTTTATATACTTACAAAAATGCTACGATATTAGTCTGTGAGGGTGTAAGAAGCAATAATCTACCATAAAATAATGAAGAAACATAGTCAACAGCAAACATAAACGTTACTAACATGAAATTGGTAACTACACAGATTTACAAAAGGTTGGAAGTCGTGAGTGTACTAGAATATTTAACTTCAATACCTTGGCCTTTACAAAAAATAGTCACAATAACATTACCGGTAGGCCTACACATATTTGTAATACATTTCCTCTTAGCTCTTCAAAACCGATACATAAAGTGGAGCGTCTTTACTTATAACGAAGCCAATAATTAATTAAAATCTCCATTCTGTGAAGATCCGCTGCGCTACGTTAACTATTAATTTAATTAATTAATCTTCGAGCTACTTTATAAAAACCGTCTTCATCTAAAAGTAGGCGGTGTACGGTCACTATGTTCTGGGAACAATATCAAATGGTCGAAAGTTTGCACCACTATCACAGGTAAGTTGAACATTTTAAAAGATTTATAACAAGTTTTACACGAGGGCAATGTATAATGCAGCACTCGAAATGCACTCCGCCTAAGTGAATGCGACGCAAAACCCGTTTACAGTACTTAATTCAACCCGTAATTATACCTTAGTATGTAAATGAGTTTAAAATATGACGAAACGAACTGTAGCTCTAGCACAACCATTTGTGTCCAAGGACGGTGCAATACAATACAGCTATAGACCTTTCACGCCTTCAACACTGCATTCCGTCAAGAGGCGAATGCTGAATGAAAATGTTCATCAACTTCGACGAATGCTGAATGAAAATGTCCATCAACTTAGACGAATGCTGAATGAAAATGTTCAACAACTTAGACGAATGCTGAATGAAAATGTTCATAAACTTCGACGAATGCTGAATGAAAATGTCCATCAACTTAGACGAATGCTGAATGAAAATCTTCATCAACTTCGACGAATGCTGAATGAAAATGTCCATCAACTTAGACGAATGCTGAATGAAAATGTCCATCAACTTAGACGAATGCTGAATGAAAATGTCCATCAACTTAGACGAATGCTGAATGAAAAGGTTCATCAACTTAGACGAATGCTGAATGAAAATGTTCAACAACTTAGACGAATGCTGAATGAAAATGTTCATCAACTTCGACGAATGCTGAATGAAAATGTCCATCAACTTAGACGAATGCTGAATGAAAATGTTCAACAACTTAGACGAATGCTGAATTAAAGTGTTCAACAACTTCGACAAATGCTGAGTGAAAATGTTCATCAACTTCGACGAATGCTGAATGAAAATTTTCAACAACTTAGACGAACACTGAATGAAAATGTGCAACAACTTAGACGAATGCTGAATGAAAATGTTCAACAACTTAGACGAATGCTGAATGAAAATGTTCAACAACTTAGACGAATGCTGAATTAAAGTGTTCAACAACTTCGACAAATGCTGAGTGAAAATGTTCATCAACTTCGACGAATGCTGAATGAAAATTTTCAACAACTTAGACGAACACTGAATGAAAATGTGCAACAACTTAGACGAACACTGAATGAAAATGTGCATCAACTAGACGAACGCTGAATGAAAATTTGCAACGACCAGTACAGTAGTTGTTTGAATGGCATGGAATTGAGTTTCTGTTGCCAAACGCTACACGGATTAATTACCTATCGCTGGAATGGGAACTATGCCTAATACCAGTAATAATAGACCTATTTTAAACAAGAACCCCGGCAATAAAATTAGTAAATTTATGTAAGAAAATCATCGCAATAACTTACCGCTTAGTATGCTTAAGATAACGATAAACCCGGCTACAAGTGACCAACATCAACAATAGTATCACATTCAAGACCACTTACCTTCATTTTTAAAGTCACATTTAGGCCTACATAAAAAATAAACTTAATACTGCTGTACCTAACCTATGTTATGGGCACTAAAATAAGGATAACAATAACAGATTTCCGTGAACGCAATCAAATTAGGGTGAACGAACTAACTTAGCAAAGTGCAACGTCCACATTTTATGAGTTCATGAATTATGGAAGCAGCCTAGAGCATAGACAGAAAAAATTTAAACACAGGTACAGATGCTGTGAAAGGCAGATCAGATTCGTTGATATTTTTTAGGTTAAAAAAGCGAATTCTTACCTGCTATGTGGCGTCGTGGTTCCTCCAGTTTTGCCGAATAGCACTTAACATGTAAACGACCAAGAAAAGTCGTTAAGAACACGAACGGAAGAAGAAAACACACTCAAGAACACTTTGTTGTGAACACTTACCCGACAGTTGGCGTACTGGAGTTTGCGCTGATGTCCGCGGCGGCAATGGCGGCGCCACCGTCTGGAGCTCGGCCTGCACAACAACAGCTGGTCAGGACAGGAGCGCCAGTTTTGAATTTGATTATGGTGGATTGTGGTTGGTTTATTTGAGTTTGAGTTTACTGAGCATATTTCAATAACTTAAAATACTTTACATCAAAACTAATCTAATATGAATTAAAACCAGACGAATAAACTTTTTTAGGATTCCACCTATTTTTCAAGTGAGATGTCTACATATTTGCCTACTCTAGGCTTGGTTGAAAATTGACTATGTGAATGTTAAACCACATTAAAAGTATAACATATGTTTTCCGAACGTACATAGTCTCAATACCCAAGAAAATTGCGGGATCACGAATAAATTGAAACTGGGATCAAAATTGTAGGCGCTAAATATCTAAATTTCTAAAATAACTCATCCTTATAGAACGACGCAAATGTAGTATGTAGGCCTGAGCAATATGGGCTTTAGTTTTAGGTTTACAATGAAAAACTGTTAGGCTCTTTGTGGCTGACAAATTCTGAACAAAATATTTATAATCCTACATTTACGCAAAATTCTTTATAGATCCAAACTAAAATCTTACCAGAGCTGATTCCCAGCGCCCACACCAAGGTACCAGACGGTTCTGGCTGCTTTCGGGCCGTGGAAACGTAAATATCGGAATTATCTCGGCATTAGAGAGGCTGAGAATTGGACGAAATGTGCGAGAATTGCGCAACATAACTATGAGGAAAACCAACAAAGGCAACGGAAACGCCGAGATTGTGGATCCTCCCACGCGAAACCGCATAATTAATCAGAACTGCATCGAAATCACCGACGTCGAGTAGTGGGGGATCTGCGTAATTAGGTAGACATGTTCAATCATACCCGGAAATTACATAGAGTGTAAATATTTATTTCTATAATGTTGCAGTGTGATCGATAAGAGTTTAAATCAAACTAAGTTAGGTCATATGGATGGATGATTACATTTATTTAATTCATCGGAAGTTTTGTGATTTCAGTAAAAAATATACCTACTTATTAATGTTTAATAGTCTGCAAAGCCCGTGGATGATTAAAAATAATAATGGCAAAATCCTTGCGAGACAGTTTAACAACGGAATGCGGCGTCTGTATGATTTCGATTCGGAGACTTTAACGACATATCTACCAAGCTGACTGAAGTCGTGAAAAACAGCGATAACGATATTGATATTATTATATTGGGATTGAATCTTTAATTGACAAATGGTGTGGAAACCGTTTAAATTGCGAAGAAGCTTAAGCTTGGTAAGTTGAGCGGATGAATTTTGTTTACATAACGTTTAGGAAGTTTGAAAATTATGAATTTCTGTAAAAATAGTAGGTCTATATTGTTTAAATACCTAATGAGGCTCGTGGGTAATGGAAAATAGCGCTGTCAAAGTGTTGCCGAGTCACACAATAGTAAGATTTACACTTGGAGACTTTAAAGATTTTGTTCCAAAACTTAAGTCGAGATAAAATCCAACATATCATGAACAATTAACTCTTTAAAATCACACATTGTTATCAAATTTAAAACTAGTAAACTTCTTGTACATTATTACTCAAATTCAAAGGCTTTTGAAATACTTTAAGTTCGAATGAAAATGTAGTCCAAGTTCACTACTTGGACGACCTCGCTGCTTTACTCAAGACAGCTGAAAAAAAGATGTAACAGAGAAAATCCTTAATTAAGTATATAGATCAAGGGGACATCCACTATTTAAAAATAATAAATCCCCTTATACCGTCAACCTCTTATTGATACATAAACCAAATATACTTTTATCTTGGTTAGTAATTCCAAGTGCAATCATACATTTCATATTATGTAAAACATTGTGCAAACTTATGAAATACCAAAAACCAAAAACTCACATTAGTGGTTGTATCCTGGATGCAATTGTTCAGCGGCGCGATGTTCACATTCTTAGTTTGCATCCTCCCTGCAACAACAAACACATAATTAACAGAAATAACTTGTATATATATTACATACTAAAAATTTGTTTTTTGTTTGTTGTTTTTTTTTTTTTAATTGCCATCATCAGACGTCTTCGGCTGAAGCAGCGTCGTCATAGTAGAAACCCATAACACGAACACGACTGCTTCTACTGTGACGACGCTGCTTCAGCCGAAGACGTCTGATGATGGCATGTTAATGCCGAAACGGCCGTAACGGAAGTTACAACTTATTGAGCTGTAGACAAAAGGTAAAAACAATTTTTTAGTTATATCACAGCTCAGGGGCTAAAAATATGGATTTTAATATATACGTACGTTGACGATTTGTATACTAAAATATTGAAGGGTATTATCTACAGTTATACATGTTTCAATAACATCCATGAATTTCCTAAATTTAGCTCGATTATACATATGATGTATACAAGATCACACTATATTTCCTACAAATGTGTATAATTAAAATAATGACCTGCGCACAATCAAGCCCGTTCTCTTAAAATACATACATTTAAAGCATTATCGATATAATATAGAGAAATAACAAAATGTTATGCAAATAGAGTAGCAAGGCAAGGACAACTATTAACTAAAACACATTAACTTAAATAAGTTGCACGAGTTTCCTGAGAAATAAAAACGCCGTGAAAGCTTCTTCTGCAAAAACCGCAGACTGCGATGCACCTAGATTGCGTGGCGCGGCTTGAAGGCACCATAGACACAATGGCGTATAGTAGTTAGTTGTCTTAATATTTTTTCCTGTTTTGACGATTAAAACTATTTAAATCGACCGTTTGGGATAAATAATAAGTATTGTATATTGCCTGAGTTTTAAAATGCCCTCTAAAATATATCGTTGTCTATAATATAGCTGGGATTTCAAATACAACGCGTTAAATGTTATAGGTTAAAAATTATCACAAAAAATTCAGGGGGCTGAAGTTATTTATGTATCATAATAGTAATTGTAACAAATTAATCATTGAACATGTAATACTTAGTACATGGGAATTATTTAAAGTCAAGTTACAAGATACGAGATTTTGTCCACTAAACATTGAATGCAATAGAGAATCATTGAAGTTAAATAATAACATATACAGGGTGAATTTTAAATGAGTTCCCCCCCTACTTTTTTCTACATTTCTTGAGATATCATCTCCGGACCACGTCAGATCATTGTTGAGTAGTAAGTACTTCATTTTGACTGGGTATACATTTTTGGCCGCCATCTTGGATCCGCCATATTGGATACAAAGTTTTTTTTTCAAATGTAAAGGTAGGATTGTGACCCATTATTCCAAACTAGAATTGAACGCTGATTCCAATGCCGCAATTAGTTTTAAAAAATCTTGATCCGTTCTAAAGTTATGAGGACCTTTTATAACTTTATTTTTAGTGCATTTTAACATTGTGCATTAACAAACTAAGACCATAATCTCAAAATAGTGCTAGATAAAGATAAGTATACAACACCATTCATTGTCGACATATTTTCACTTGGTTATGACGGATGTAGTTTTTTCAGCCGCCATCTTGGATCCGCCATTTTGAAATGTGATCATTTAATTTAAATATGAAGGTGGTGTTGTGACCCATCATTTTGAACTACTTTTTTATGCTGGACTCAATGCCGCAATCCGTTTTTGGTTATCAAGCTTTCTTGATGAAATATTAAAATACTCTTATTTAAAATTTCAATATTTCAAAATCCAAAGATGCAAATGAAAAACGCATTCAATTCAGCGTTCAATTCTAGTTTGGAATAATGGGTCACAACCCTACCTTTACATTTGAAAAAAAAACTTTGTATCCAATATGGCGGATACAAGATGGCGGCCAAAAATGTATACCCAGTCAAAATGAAGTACTTACTACTCAACAATGATCTGACGTGGTCCGGAGATGATATCTTAAGA